AACTATGAAAAGAACAGATACAAAGGGAAATATGCATAAAGCATTTTATGTGAAGGGCACTCCTTTTGGCCAAATAGTAGTCAAATAGGGTATCAAATAGGATTTATTATTGGTAAAACTGTGGATACCAAAACAGTTGAGGACTAAGTGGTGTTCTCGCTATTTTTATAGCTTTTAGAGTTCAAAAGTACAAACATTAGAATTTGAGCTACACTTCTCAGAACAGAGTCTGCTATTGTGATCAGCTGTGTGGATGTTTTGAAAGAGAAACACATTTCTATGGGAGGAAAGAAAGAGAAACTTCTCATCTGTTATTGGAAAGCGAGGCTTCTCTTTATATTTCTGGGACTTTCTGTAATTATTATTGTCCCAGGCATTTTGTTTATGTTTTTCTACAAGAGAATGAAAAGGAAAGAAGATTGTAGAGTAAAGATGAGCATTGAAAAGAAAATGGTGAAAGCCTGTACAATAATGTTTTCTAGGATGGCAAAGAGAAGGAGCTATAAAACAACGTATTCCAGCAAGTGAAAAACCCCACTTTTTCATTATCAGTGCATGAAAGAATAAAAATGATTATTAGGAAAAGCCATCATTTTAGCCTGGAAATCTGAAGGCTGAGAAGCAGCCCACCTCTGCAGTAATTTTTTTGCCAGGAATTGGTAGCAACTGTCTCTCAATGAATATGAAAATAATGACTTAGTGGCAAAAAGAACTTCTTCAGGGGACCGTGATTTTGAGGAAATATCCAAGAAGAATAATCTGAAGTCAAATGTCATTAAGATAACTGTGATAGTAATAATATAAAATACCTTGTAGGAATAACTTTGGGTATATCAGCCAATATTTTCAGTAAATTTTGTTAGTGATTCCCTAAATTCCTTTAAAAAAATATCCCAAATCCTCACTTGAGGATATTTTTTCCATTGATTTTTAGAGAAAATGGAAGGGAGGGGGAGAGAGAAGGGGAGAAGGAGAGAGGGAGGCAGGGTAGGAGGGAGTAAAGGAGGGAGGGAGGCAGAGAGAAAGAGGGAGGGAGAGAGGGAGGGAGGGAGGGAGAGAGAGAGAGAGAAAAAGAGAGAAAGAGAGAGAGAGAGAAAGAGAGAGAAAGAGAAAGAAAGAGAGAGAGAAACACAGATGTGAGAGATTGATTGCCTCCTGCATGTGCCCCAATCAGGGCCAGGGATCGAATCTGCAACACGGGTACGTGCCCTTGATGTGGAATCGAACCCGAGACCCTTCTGTGTGTGGGCTGTTGCTCTAACCACTGCTCAGGGCATAATTCCTTTTCATTCCCAAGAAGAAACTCTATACCTATTATCAGTCTCTCCCCATTTCCCCTTCTCCTTCCCCAAACCAAGGCATCCATTAATCTACTTTCTGTCTCTATAGATTTGACTATTTTTTTACATTTCATATAAATGGAGTCACATAACACATGATCTTTGGTGACTGGCTTTTCTTCACTTAGCATAAAATTTAGAGGTTCATTCATATTGTAACATGTATCAATACTTCATTCCTTTTTATTGTGAAATATTATTCCATCATATAGATCGATCACATTTTACTTACCTGTTCATCAGTTGATGGACATCTGGGTTGTTTACAGTTTTGGCTACTATGAATAATACTGCTATGGATATGTGTGTATACATTTTTGTGTAGATGTTCTCTTTTTTCTTGGGTATACATCAAGAGTGGAATCACTGATCATATGGTAACTCTACACTTAAAATTTTGTGGAGCTGCCAAACTGCTTTTTA